CGGGCGTCCACGACTCTCTTCAGGTCTCTCTGCAGTCGCCGCCCGAAGTCTCTGAACATGGTGGATCCTCGGAGAGCACGATGTTCTGACACACAAACACACCGTCAGTTAACAGGATCAGACACCTGCGGTTTGCTTTGACGAAACGCACTCAGGTGAGTTACCTTGTACAGGGGTCGCCTCACATCGATTGGACAGCTCTGAATGACATCATCGACGACATCAGAGATAGGCTGCATGAAGTCTGGGTTAGCGAACTGAAAAACACGCATGAACCTTTGTGAACCTTTCTCTTCAGCTTCACCTGAACTTCAGTTTAAATTTAAACCCTTTAACCGCCTCTTTGTCCTCCTGCTTACAGCTAAAGGACCTTCAGCCTTTTCCTAACGTTGCTTTGAACTTGACATTTTTGCAATAAGCTCACATTTATATTTAAAGTAAAATTTTGTATTATCATTTCCTCCTTCAGCAGCTACAGAGCAACGTGACGTTTTTACAGCTTGTTTGAAGAAAAAAAAAAACCAAAACTATGAACTAAGAGAGGCTAAATTACGATGACTTTATGTCCTGTTTTTGGGACCTCAAGATGTGGCTTATGCTTTCTACAGTTGTGTGTTTTTGCATTGCTTTCATCTTTCTTTTTAGGTCCCGCCTCCTCCCACGCCACCATTCATCTGCCTTTTTAGGCCTACACATCCTTCAAGCTACTTTGGTCAAACTGCAGCTCAATCATTACCCTCAGCACCACTGCAACAGCCAAGAGACTTGAAGTGGGCCGGTACTCACCACTACGCAGTACCGGCACTTCTACATTTTACTCTTTGGCGTACCGGGACATTTCTTGAGTACCGGCACTTCGCACAAGCTGCCACTACTCTTTTCTTCTGACCACCGGTGGAGACGGAGTAGGAAGAAAATCAGGTGCTTTTTTATCCAAACGTGTGCATAAAGTTGCTTATCAATGTCACTTTTCGTGGACTGACCAATCACAGCCTGGATGGGGCGGGACATGATAAAAAGGTGGAGGCGATACAGCAAACTTTCTAAATGTTGAACTGGTTCAGCATGAATGGTTCTGATTATTGACAAGTCACAGACTAACCCCCTGTGGAGCTTTTTTCATCACAATGATGAGAACATCGTAATGAAACTGCTGTAACTGGAATTAATATTATACCAGAGGTGAGCTGTACTTGGTCCTAGCTAAACAGCTCTGTAAGGGTACCTCGGGGTGGAAGAAGATCTCAGGACCCAGGAAGCGCTCGTAGCCCACGTCAATGTGGAAGGCGTTCTTACTGACGGCGTTGACGCCGCGGTACTGTTTGATCCATTTCCCCGGGTCAGAGTCGTACTTTGTGAACTCCTTCACAATGTCCGGACAGATGTAACAGTACCGCTCCTGCACACAGAAGTACACACAGAAGTACACAGAAATCCAGGGAATAAGGATCAGGAATCTGGGATTAGTGTTGAAGAGGAGTAGATGAGGAGGACCAGGGTACCTTGACGGCCTTGGCGGTCTCCAGCGACTGCTCTGGAGGAATCCCCACCTCTCTGTCTCTGAGCAGCTGCTGGATGAAGAAGGTGATGTCCCGCCCTGCGATGGGGATGTGTTTTATACAGCTGCCAATCACGTAGCCCTCAGCCTGTGACGCACAGCCACGCCAACCAATCAGTGAGCAGAAAATACATATATCTATGGGTTCAGTTTTTAATGCTCTGATGGATCTGACATCAAACAGATCCTGTCCCAGGTGGATTGCAGGGACAGACGGTTCTACGCCTGCAGCTCTCCTGTACAGTAGTGATCCTGTAGTGAATCTGTAGTTCAGTGTTGTTTCATTTTGTGTACTTGGAGTTTCTCTCAGCAAAAAGCAGAATCAATATCGCATCATAAAGCATTTCTGATTCATCCCTGTCGACTGCGAGGCAGCACAGTCCGTGCAGTAAGGAGGTATCAGTAAAGATCCGGCCTGTTAGTGTTTTGACGGTTGCATTTGTTTTGGGATGAGAGCTGAGTGAAGAGTTTAAAAAGGTGAACTCGGTGTATAGAGATCTAAAGATTAAAGTGTGCGTGTCTCACCACTGGGATGGCGTGCGTGACTCCATCTCCGCTGTCGATGACGATGCCCGTCAAAGTTCTCTGTCCAACCTGCCGAGACGTCCAGGACGCCGCCAACGCCAACACGGCCTGATAGAGGGAGACACCATGATGCAGCTGTATATGATGAGTCTGTGTTTCTCACCTGACTGAGTCTCACCTGTACTGCGATGTAGAGTCCAGGTATGTTGAAGGTCTCAAACATGATCTCTGCCAGGTACTCTCTGTTCTCTGGGGTGTTGAGAGGAGGCTCCGTCTGCACACACACAAGTTTCCTTACATAGACCAGTGCTGTGTCTCGATTTGCCCCTTTCCTTACTACTCTGAGTGCATAAGTGTGGCAGAATGCACTGTGGGTACCCAGATGGTGTACTCACTACAGTCAAAGAGCGGAGTGTGAACGCTGGACACTTCTCACCCTCAACGTCAGCCAATCTTGGCTACGTAACTACGTAGGAGACGGACCACCAACGTACAAAGGCCACTACAACCTCCCCAGGACCCCTGAAACCTGCAAAAGGACCATTACAACCTCCCCAGGACCCCTGAAACCTGCACAAGGACCATTACAACCTCTCCAGGACCCCTGGTACCTGCACAAGGATCACTTCAACCTCCCCAGAACACCTGGAACCTGTATGGGGACCTCTTCAACCTCCCCAGAACCCTTGCAATTTGCACAAGGACCTCTTCAACCTCCCCTAGGACCCCTAAACCTGCACGAGGACCTCTACAAGGAATGAAAATGCTGCTCTGTTAGTGGCTGCCTGATCAAATCAGACACAGTTCAGGTCAACAGTTTAACCTCTGCTGCTGTTAAACCGCGGGTAACATTACTGAAGAGACCCACCATGAGGAAGCTGTGGTCCTCAGGCTCGGCTCGGAGGTACTTGAAGATGATCTGCTCCATGAACTTCTCCATCAGATCCCAGTCCTCCACCATCCCATGACGGATGGGCCACTGAACACACAAAACAGGAACACATGAACTCAACACCAATGATGGACGAACCTCCTCCTGCTCCTCCTCCTCCACCTCCTACCTTGGTTGCATAGTTGGGTTTGTCTACTGCTTCGTCTCCGATGTAGAAGTCCAGATCGTCGACTCCTCGTACGAGCCTCCTCTGAGCCTGCTCTCCCACGCTGGCCGACTCCTTGATGGCGATACCTGACCCAGAACACACACTTGAACATGAGTACCCCCCTGCTCGTGTGGAGAGCAGTGTGGGGTCAAAGGTCACTGTCTGTCTGTTTGTATCTACACTTCATTTTCATGTTGTCAGCTTCATCAGGAAATTATTATCGCTGGCTAAATGAATGAGGTTTACATTTAGCTGACGCTTTTATCCAAAGCGACTTACAATTGCTCTATACAGTATGTCAGAGGTTGCACGCCTCTGGAGCAACGAGGGCTTAAGTGTCTCGCACAGGGACACAGTGGTGAATGTCACTGTGGGGAACTGAACCCGTGTCGACCACACCAAAGGCATGTGTCTTATCCACTGCTTCATCCCCACCCCCTGAACTGACAGACTCATGAAGGACGGGTAGTTTACAGTGACAGAACAGCGAGCTACCGCTAACAAAGGGCTGCAGTTCTTTCTCCTGACACTCTCGGCCTTCTCTTCTTCTACTATAACCCCCTCCAGGCCTCTCTGCTTCAGCACAGCGTCCACACGAGAGGAAAACACAAAGGTGAGTTTGATGCTTACAGGACGGCATGATGAACTGCGGCTCTGTATTCCCAGCATAGCCGACCTTTGTGTACCTGAGAGACGAGACAGAGACAAGAACCAGTGAAGAAGAGTTTCCAGAGCTGACAGGAGGGAGGTTCCCAACATCTGGCTCTGGGCCCAAACACGGACTTAACACGTGAAGTTAGGTCATCAGGCAGCACGAAGGCTCACATTTCATCTCACCTGTACCTGAAGCAGCACGGTGAAGTGTTCACACCCAGAGAGCAGCTTACACACAGCCTCCATGGACCACAATGCAACGCTGCATACTGCTTCAGTACATGTGATTTATATGTTTGAATTCAGAAACTGATGTGTGACGACGTCCTCAGACTACTACATTAAACACTCTTTGTTCTTGGATCTGGATCTGTGCACAGACTGTTTCCATATTTGCATTTCAGAGAAACGTCTGTGTGATAAAGTCGTGTGAAACGTGTCCGTCTCCAAACTGTCCTCTCAGTGTGACCGTCTCCTTACTGTCTCCTCTAATAACTGAATAATGAGAGCGACTGCCTGTTTTCCTGCTGCAGCTCCTGTTCTACTTCCTCCAGCTGTCCCACATTCAGACCAGAATAGACCAGGGACTGACCTCGGATCAGCTCCTGATGCTGTCTGTCAAACATTTACATGTGGAGATAACGCCTGTCAGCTGAGTCCAGTATCATTTATATATTCATGTTCCTGTGCCTGAAGTCCAGATAACACTTCAGCACTCAAGTTAGAACGTTAGAACGTTCGACCAGCGGACGCTCTGCTCCAAACAGCTAACTTCACTTGGACCTGAGCCTTCTGACTCCAGCTGACTTGATCCCCTCCTCAAACCCAGGCTGAATTATGATATAAATAAAAACTATGCATCAACACAAAAATCATGAAATGAAATAACATTTGCTGTGTGAAACTGTTTCTGCCTTTTGTTTCTGTGCAGGTTAACGTTTCATTCAGAAAGAGTTTTAAAATATGAAACTGTATAAAATCTGCTGAGGAGCTCATTATACTTGTTTAGGACTCACAACTCAAAGTTTAGGACTTGAGACTCGTCTGTCCAACAAATTCTCATCCCAACTCGTCACATATGACAGATCTATCGCTCTAACTACCCTTTAGCCTCATTTTTGCAAATGTCGGGCTCTGCGGTCATGTCGGCAACAATGAAAATGCAATGTCTGGTTAGACTTTCAAAATAAAACTAGTGGTTAACATTGTGAAACACTGCAGTTTGTTTAAGTTTAGGAAATGATCATGGTTTGGTTTAAATAATGTTACTTCTGTGACTTATCTTACGTAAGTTACCTACCTTAAATAAAAACATTCAGTGTTGACTTTTGTTTCACACAGGAAGTGAACACCAGTCTCCTGGTTGAAAGTCCGGTTTCTGGCCTTTTGTCCACGCCAAACACCTCCTTCCTCTGACTCTTCAGTTAAATATCCTACACCTGCCTTTAGTGTGTCCAACTATGATGCTAAGGGCATCGTGTGTCCATATGTGACGACTTGGCAGTGAGAACTGGTTGGTCGGTTTTGACTTGGGACTTGGGACTAGTAAAACAGCGTTTGGTCCCACCTGCGTTTGTTAACGCTTGCTGAAGAGTCGTGTTAGTGTTCAGGCGTTCTCCTGAGAGGTTTCAGCGTTACATAGTCTAATAACGGGCAGTGAGCGGTGATGTTAGACGGCCTCCCTGTTAGTGTTTGAACATATTATTATTTCAGGACATAATGTTGCTTTAATGTTATCGGTCTTTAATTTCCGTCCTGAACGGTTTAAAGTAACTTTGTTAATGATTGTTGTTCTACTGATCCACTAATTGTCTGTATTGAGTGAACTGGCCCTTTAATGCCAACCAAAACAACGCGCTCAGGCCCGCACGCTACAGACATGACGACGTTCACGCACACAGGCAGCTCGCTACATATGACGTCACATACTTTACAGCGTGTGCATCCATGCGTGTTCGTGTGTGTGTGTGTCTGTGTGTGTGTGTGTGTGTGTGTGTGTCCTCACCCGGTCCCGCAGTCTATCACGCACGGGGGCAGCTGCTGCAGGGCCATGTTGTGGTTCTGCTGCCGCTCGGTCCGGCCGCAGAGCCGCCGGTGGTCAGCTGTTGTGACCGGATCGGTACAGACCGGAGAGCGCGAGGCGGAGTCTGATGATGTGATGGAGAGAGAGTGTAGTCCTCTCTCTCTCTCTCTCTCTCTCTCTCTGGTTCCGGGTCAGAGGGAAAGATGGAGAAAATAGAAACTCGTCTGACACGGTCCCGGTAACCGGAGAGGGGTGTGTGTGTGTGTGTGTGTGTGTGTGTGCGTGTGCGCGCTGCCTTCACGTGATGTCAGCTGCATCATAAACACCTCTGCCTGTAACACACAGCTCAGCCCCGCCGCCTGGTGGAGACAACAACAACAACAACAACAACAACAACCCTCCAGTCAGCATGTGACCCGTCTCTGAGAGGTTGTATTGATCAGTCTGTGCTGTAGCAGAGTATCAGCTACTACTAATAATACTTCTACTACAGGAACAACCGTTGATGCTTCTGAGTTTCTACAAATATATTTTAAATATGTAGTTTACTGTAGACAAAGTTTAAACAGCAGAGCTGCAGATTACTTTCTTTATCAGTTCAGTTCATTGATTTATCCTCTTTGAAATGTTGAAACAAAAGAAATAGTTTTAAAAAGCTCTTCAACAGTCTTGTTTTGTTCGACCAACAGTGCAAAACTCCTGATCAGCTGATAACCAGTCAGTGGTCTCAGTGGTTTTACAAACACAGTAAAGTGCTGGTTCCAGCCTCCAGGTGGAGCTTTACAACTGTTCTGTATTGTTTGAATATCTTTGGGTTTTGGGCTGCTGGTCAGGAAAAACAAGACTTCTGGAGACGCACAGGACTCTGGGAAACTGGGATAGTCGAGTTCATGACTCTCTGACATTAAAATAAAATAATCAGCAGATTAATCACCAATAAAAATAATCTTCAGCAGCTCTGATGAATTTAAAAAGGTGTGAAGAAAACTTATTTAAATGAGCTGCTGGTCTCACACTGAGGACGGACTGTTCAGGGTGTCACTGCATGCTGATCTATAATCAATATGTAGATGATTGATCAGATGGAGCTGCTGCTGAGTGAATCCAGCAGGTGGCAGCAGACTCTCACACACAGTTTCATGTTTCACACTAACAGCTCATCAGCAGCAAGAAACAGGGGTCAGTGATGGCGCAGTGGATAACACTCATGCCTTTGATGTGAGAGACCCGGGTTCAGTTCGCCACTGTGACATCCATTAATGTGTCCCTGAGCAAGACACTTAACCCCTCGTTGCTCCAGAGACGTGTGACCTCTGAGCAATTGTAACACTTTTTAATAACTAACACTATGAAGGGTTAGTTAAGTATTAGTAAATACAGAATTCATCATTTATAAACCATTGTTCATACATTAATACACATTAGTAAGTCATTCATAAACACTGTTATAAATGTTTATTCTTTATTCAGAATTAAAACCATTAAAACTGAGCTCTCAAAGCAAAAATTTCCTTGCCTAAAATGTGTATGAAGAACAAAATCAATCCTTAAAGTCACCTTTCTGATTGATAAAATAAAGCCAGTTATGTCGGCTCGGACAGTAAACTCTGTTCAGTATTTTTTGTTTGTAATTTAATGTAATGCTGATAGATGGAGAAATTTAATGAATTCATAGTAGTGGTGTCTTGCTTAAATGCTGCCTATGAAGTTAATCTTTGGTGAGCTCTCAAAGCAAAACAGAAAAGAGGGTTAGACAAATACAGTCAATATCAAAATGTTTGCAGTCTGTTAATTGGATTCTCGTCGGCAGGACAAGCATGGACTAACTTGACAAATGATCCGCCAGAGGTATAGTGGTACAAGGCCTGGACTTTGGAAGGATGAAAGACGAGTTTTCGGCTGAGCTTTGAATGCCTCAGCAGAGTCAGACTGTCTGATGCCAGCAGGAAGGTTATTCCAGAGAAAAGGGCGTGATAGGAACAGACGTCCACAGACAGACAGGAAGCCGGTATTCTGAGAGCAGAGAGCACAGGATATAAAGTTTAATGAGATCAAAGATATAAGGAGGAGCGAGCCCATTTACGGTTTTATAATTCATCAGAAGCACTCTAATGTCCAATCAGACAGGGATTAGAAGCAGATGAAGCTGAAACTGGTGAAATATGCAAAGATGTTGCAGTTTTAGTTGAGATTCCAGCTGCAGGACAACAAGACGTTACATTCATCAAATGCGTGAACGAGGATCTCTGCATCAGCCGAGGACAGAAAAGACTTCACCTGAACGTCTAAGTCAAGGATTATACTTTCCAGGTCTGCAAGTTTGTGAAGGCTCGCGTGACGAAAAAATTGTCATCAGAAGGGGTACGTGTGGTGACTATCCTTTCATCTAGTGCCACCATCAGGTATGAAACGTGAAGCCATTACTAAAGAGCCTTTAACCTGCGTTCTCTCCAGCAGCCAGCAGGGGGCGACTCCACCGGCTGCAGAAAGAAGTGTGATTGTATAGAAGTCTCTGAGAAAATGTTTCTACTTGTCAGCTGATTTATTCCCTCAGTAAACACTTTCCTGATGAGTTTCTGGTCTCAGTCGCTAGTTTCAAGTCTTCTTCAACACAGCATGATGTTCATTTAGTAAATTATGGTCCCATTTAGAGGAACAGAGACCAGGAAGCAGGGGAGGCTTTAGGGCGGGGCTACCTTGTGACCTGTCAGGCGTAGCAATGCAAATCCCTCCTCAGCTCAGCACTCTTGTCCATATATGATCACTTCTGGTTCTAACAATCCAATATGGCTGAAATGCGATAGTCCACAAAGCAACGGTTGACATCAGCCTGGCGTCTGTTTTTTATACAGGCTGTGTTTATGATAGAATATCTCCAAAACTATTGACATTCCCATCAGCCTCGGCTGTAATTCGTGTTTGTGCTAATTAGGAAATGCTAGCATACTAGCATGCTAAACTAAGAGTGTACTCACACGAGGAGATCCGTACCATGCCCGAGAACGTTTAACCCCCAAAGTCCGGTTCATTTAACCAGTGTGATCGCTCTGTGCTGTGCACGATTAAGCTGGACTCCAGCACGGTAAGCCTGCAGTGTGATCGCTAACCATGTAAAATGGAATCCTGACACAAACTCCACTGTGCCGCTCTCTTGGAGAGAGAGAGTGCAGCGTTTCCCACAGAATGACAGTCTAAATTGACTTCCAGCGATGTACTGCACGGTACACACTTTATCTCAACAACCAAGCTGAGATCTAACGTTAACATAGCTCTCCTTACTAACTAGGCTCCTTCCATGTTTGCTAATAACTTTTTTTAAGGTCAGTCCACGGCATTGACATTTGTATTGGACAGATTTGTGCAGCGGTGTTCGTCAATCATGCTCAGGCACGGTACAAGGCATCCGGGCCTAGTGTGAGTACGCCCTAAGATGGTATGGCATGGCTGTAGACTCTTCATTCACAGGATGTCACAGTCAATTGTGAGCCACACACAGTGATGTGTGATACAGCTGCACTTCAAATGGCCTTTTCTTTTTCAGGGGAACAAAAAAAGATAAATAAGAAAAACGATTCATTCGTTATTATAATTATCTTGTTGTGTTGTATAATTATATGTTAAGATTTGTTTTCATAGTAAAATAGAGCCTGCTGCTAACATCAGTTGCTGCCTTTCCCTTTTTATGGAATTTATATGTGGAATTTATGTTTAAAAAGTGTTTCTTTATGTTACTCATCATCTTCATTTATACAGCGCTATAACTTTTTTTAAAGACTAAAACATTTCAAAAATACAAACAACTGCTGCAATTAAAAGTACAAAAAACTACACTATGATAAAATGTCATGAAATGAACAGAACAAACACTGTAGAAAACTATGAGTAACTTGTATTTCCTTCTTACTGATTGACCAAATCCCCACAGAAATACATTAAGCCTGGCTGTTTTAAATAATGGCTAGGGTAATATTTTGAAGCAATAGTCAGGAAGTATAAGAATAACATTATCTTTTAAATACATTTTTGAAAAGTGTTTGATTAAAGCTAAAACAACTTGTTAGTGAAGAGCAGGTTTGCTCTTTTTGCACACATTATAAAATGAGTGTCATCTGCATAAAGACACAAAACAGACAGCCTGAGCCAGGAGGACGAGCTAACCCGTGCAGCAGAGAGTAAAATAGTTTGCATAGCTGACCTGAGCCCAGATAAACCCAGATAAACCCCAGCTCCTACACTGTTGGTAAAATTCCACTCACAAATTACATTTTGAGGAAAATCCAATGCAAATGTGGCCGTACGCTCAATCCAGAGCCAAACCATATCCGTCTCTCCCCTCAGCTTGTTTTGAATACACCAGATGTAAGCCTGAACTCCACTCGCTGCCCTCCATGCAAATCTCGTTTAAAATGAGCTTGTTGTTAAACTGTCCAGAAACAAAAACGTCTGATTACAAACAGGAGATTCTCTTGAATGCAAATCCGAGAAAGGATGTTGTTTAGATGCAACACCAGCCTGGAAACACACAACATGTGTGATGGAGGTGTGGGAGACATAAATGTAGATAATTTTTTTCAGCAACATTTTTCTCTATTTAGAGAATCACTCTCTAAACTTAGTGAATGAGTGGCTGTCAGGTCATTAATTCTTTGCTGTTTATTGGTTATTAGAGGCAGTCAGTCACATAGAGCAGCAAGAGGTTAAAAGGTAGTGAGTAGTTAACTGATTGATGTGGAATATAATCAAAGTCTGCTTCATTGAAAAAAGAAAGTTAAAACGTCCAAAACTGTGTCTAAAATAAATTAGTCTCACAGTGAGATCCCTGAATTGCTCACCTCTTCAGAAACAGACGGATCAGTGAAGAGTAACTGGATCAACACCAGCTTCAGAGTTTTTATATCCGGTCTGTATCAAAGAGCAACATTTATGATATGAGCTAGCAAAATGTACTAAATCAGTTGTGTCAAATAATTTCATTTTAGTTTCATTTTAAACTATTTCTGTTATTTCAAACAGGAGAGAAATGTGAATGAAGTAAAAATAAATGTTAATGTGAAAATTAAGTCTTGACAGAAGCGGGATGAATCCCCACATAGAGTCCAGGACCCTAGAGACCTGAATCTGGGGTTGTGTGAATTTGTGGGTTGGTGATGGAGCAGTGGATAAAACCGTTGTGTCCCTGAGCAAGACACTTAACCCCTCGTTGCTCCAGAAGCGTGCGACCTCTGACATGTATAGCAATTGTACGTCGCTTTGGATAAAAGCGTCAGCTGAATGAATCTAATGTCATTTCAAGTCGACAATGTAAAGTAAAAAGAAACTGCTTACTTTTAATCAATTTAGGTCACCACTGCTGCTACCTGGCTGTGGTGCATGCAGTGGTCTTCCTCAGGTAACTCATTCGCACTGCATTTTAGTAATTTTATCTTCCATTCATCAGGCAACAGGACATTTTTATATCTTAAATACACCTCAGACTTTTCAGATGAAGGTACATGTTTGAGCAAGAAGTAACCAATGACTTTAACAAACCAAAGTACTTTTACTTCAGTATGTTCTGAAGTTTTAATAACTTTAATTTCAATTGTATTTGATTTAAAATCACTGTTGAGGTGGTTTCGGCATCTGGTAAGGATGCCTCCTGGACGCCTCCCTAGGGAGGTGTTCCAGGCACATCCAGCTGGGAGGAGGCCTCGGGGAAGACCCAGGACTAGGTGGAGAGATTATATCTCCACACTGGCCTGGGAACACTCGGGATCCCCCAGTCAGAGCTGGTTAATGTGGCTCGGGAAAGAGAAGTTTGGGGTCCCCAGCTGGAGCTGCTGCCCCTGCGACCCGAACCCCGGATAAGCGGATGAAGATGGATGGATGGATTCAAATCACTGATTATTTCCAGCTGTTCATTTTTTTAGTATTAAGAGACTCAAAAGACTACTTGCAACACAGTGTGACGTATCTCTGTTTTACTAATCGCCCGTCAGTTGGCTTCCGGTCAGCTCTACAGTACCGCTAGCTTCACCGCCGATCTCCACTTTTCACAGTTAGCTTTGGACATAATTTAATAGTATTTAGAGATTTTTGTATGTATATAGTGTTTTTGATCCTTTGATTCCTAATTACCTCAGTGTTTTAAAAAGCTAATATTACTGAAATGCAGAAAAGAAGCTTCAAGCTTAGGAGTGCCATCAGCCCTACAGCGTTTTGCTCAGTCGAGAAAAATAGGCAGAAACAATAAAAGGGAGGAGGTCACCAGTCGGTCCAGGGTGCCTGTTGTAACTCTGCACTTCTGGGCTTTATCAGTGTGTGGATATACAGGCTGAAGTTAATGAGACCAGAGACATAAATCAGCATTAGATACTTATCTCCTTTGAAACATCTGTATCATCACAACAATATTATAATTCATTTCAGTAGCTAGCTAGGCTAGTTGACTGGCTAAGCTAGCTTGCTTTCTGAAAACACTGAGGTGATTAGACTATCAGAATAATGAATGAAAAAACAATGTATACACAAACGAACAGTATATACTATCTGTGAAAGTGGCTAAAATAAGGATGAAGTAGCTTGGCGGTGAAGCTAACATGTCTTTGTTACATTGAATGTCTTTCTGCCTTCTTTTTATTTTTATGCGTTTGAAATGAAAAACCTTTGCAACACTTAGATCCCAATAGTTTCTATAGTGATAACTTCTGTTATTTGAGATATTACATCATTTGAATACCAGCTTTTATGATAATTTACAGCATCTTTTAAATGTACCCATTTGTTTCATTAGCAGAGCTTTCTGTACTCACTGAGATGATCTGTCACTTCTTAAAAGTCTTATTTTTCCTCTCCACAGGCTCAAACCTCTCCGTTACAGGTTAGCGTGGTCGACTGGCGGCTGATGCTGCTGTACTGCATCATACCTGCCTTCCAACTTTCAACCATACACTTAACATACGTGCTCATCTCCAAGTCCCCGTTCTTCTTGATGGTCATGTTATGCTGCGGCGTCCAACGTTCTCTGCTTGCTGAAACAGCCGGGGCCAGGCGATGGGGATGGAGGCCGTGAGATCTGGAACAGCATGAAGAGAAAGGCCTTCAAGGTCATCACGATTACCCTGGTGTTCACCAGCACTACACAGTCCCTCCAAGTCTTCATCCTGGGTCCAACAGTGCTGTGTGCATCAGAGTTCTGCAGGTCACATTAGTCAGCCTGTCCATCAACATCGTCAGCGTGTACATCACCTCTCCGCTGTACCTCCACAGTGTCGGAAAACTGCTCTGTATCAAGTTCTGAGTTTTCTGTCAGGTCACCTACCTGCTTCCTAAAGGGACATATTGAAGTGTGGCGTTAAGTTGGGGATTTTCTTTCTCTTTCCAAGATTCTTTGACGCCACTTAACTTTTCTGACTCAGAAACAGAAAGTAAATTACCAAGTAGAATTTTACACGTACGAGGAATTCGCTTTGGTGATAAGGTGCTACAATGTGGCAGATATTTACATGTGCATTACTCCGGATTGTGTTGTGCAGGCATATTGCAGCGGAAGAGGATATTGTGTACGTTAATATATAAATTGACAAAATATAAATATAATGATTAACAATTAACAACAAATATGTGCAATGTGCCAGGTTTGTGCATGATATGAAATTATATGATAGTTAGAGTGACACTTGTATTATTTGAAAGGGGGAGTGTCAGTGGGGACCCGGACATTGTTAACGAGGCTAGCTATAGATGGGAAGAAGCTGTTTTTGTGGTGAGAGGTTTTGGTCCTGATGGACTGCAGCCTCCTGCCAGAGGGTCTGAAACAGTTCTTTTCCAGGGTGGGAGGAGTCAGCCACAATCTTTCCTGCTCGCCTCAGAGTCCTCGAGGCGTACAGGTCCAGAAGAGAAGGATGATTGCAGTCAATCACCTTCTCTGCAGAGCGAATGATACGCTGCAGCCTGCCCTTGTCCCTGGCAGTGGCAGCAGCGTACCAGATGGTGATGGAGGAGGTGAGGATGGACTCATTGATGACGGTGTAGAAGTGCACCATCATTGTCTTTGGCAGGCTGAACTTCTTCAGCTGCCGCAGGAAGTTCATCCTCTGCTGGGCCTTCTTGGTGAGGGAGGTGATGTTCTGCTCCCACTTGAGGTCCTGGGAGATGATGGTGCCCAGGAAGCGGAAGGAGTCCACAGTGGTGACTGGGGAGTCACACAGGATGATGGGGGAGGGTGGGGCTGGGCTCTTTCTAAAGTCCACGACCATCTCCACAGTGTCCAGACTGTTCTGGCTGCACCAGGTCACCAGATGGTCAATCTCCCACCTGTAGGTGGACATTTGAGATGAGCCCGATGAGGGTGGTGTCATCCGCAGACTTCAGGAGCTTGACAGACTGGTGACTGGAGGTGCAGCTGTTGGTGTACAGGGAGAAGAGAAGGGGGGAAAGAACGCAGCTTTGAGGGGAACCGGTTCTGATGGTCCTGGAATCAGAGACATGTTTCCTGTCCGTCAGGAAGTCAGTGATCCACCTGCAGGTGGAGTCAGGCACGTTCAGCCGAGAGAGCTTGTCCTGAAGCAGGGCCGGGATGATGGTGTTGAAAGCAGAGCTGAAATCCAGGTTCCTGGTGTAGGTTCCTGGGGAGTCCAGGTACTGGAGGATGTAGTGAAGGGCCTTGTTTACTGCATCATCTGCAGAACTGTTGGCTCTGTAGGCGAACTGCAGGGGGTCCAGGAGTGGGTCTGTAATGGATTTTAGGTGGGACAACACAAGGCGTTCAAAGGACTTCATAACCACAGAGGTCAGGGCGACGGGTCTGTAGTCGTTTAGTCCTGTAGTCCTTTGTTTTTTGGGGACAGGGATGATGGTGGAGGCTTTGAAGCAGGCTGGCACATGGCATGTCTCCAGTGAGGTGTTAAAAATGTGTGAACACCAGAGACAGCTGATCAGCACAGTGCTTCAGGGTGGATGGGGAGACAGAGTCCGGCCCAGCTGCTTTGTGGGGTTTCTGCCTCCTGAACAGTCTCTGTCGGTGTGGTGGACTAAGTTATTTATTTAAATTACTTATTATTTCCTGTTTCTCTGCTGGGCTGTGTTGTTTATTTATTTATTATTATTTCTCTGCTGGGCTGTGTTGTTTATTTATTTATTTCTCTGCTGGGCTGTGTTGTTTATTTATTTATTTCTCTGCTGGGCTGTGTTGTTTATTTATTTATTTATTTATTTCTCTGCTGGGCTGTGTTGTTTATTTATTTATTTATTTCTCTGCTAGGCTGTGTTTTTTATTTATTTATTTATTTATTTCTCTGCTGGGCTGTGTTGTTTATTTATTTATTTATTTATTTCTCTGCTGGGCTGTGTTGTTTATTTAATTATTTATTTATTTCTCTGCTGGGCTGTGTTATTTATTTATTTATTTCTCTGCTGGGCTGTGTTGTTTATTTATTTATTTATTTCTCTGCTGGGCTGTGTTGTTTATTTATTTATTATTTATTTCTCTGCTGGGCTGTGTTGTTTATTTAATTATTTATTTATTTCTCTGCTGGGCTGTGTTGTTTATTTATTTATTTATTTATTTCTCTGCTGGGCTGTGTTGTTTATTTATTTATTTATTTATTTCTCTGCTGGGCTGTGTTGTTTATTTATTTATTTCTCTGCTGGGCTGTGTTGTTTATTTATTTATTTATTTATTCTCTGCTGGGCTGTGTTGTTTATTTATTTATTTCTCTGCTGGGCTGTGTTGTTTATTTATTTATTTATTTCTCTGCTGGGCTGTGTTGTTTATTTATTTATTTCTCTGCTGGGCTGTGTTGTTTATTTATTTATTTATTTATTTCTCTGTTGGGCTTTGTTGTTTATTTATTTATTTATTTCTCTGCTGGGCTGTGTTGTTTATTTATTCTCTGCTGTTGTTCGGCTGGTTGTCTCCTGTTTCCATCTTCTGTTTATGTGAACCCATTGTGATCAATATGAATGTGAACCATGGCTCTTTGTCATTTAGAGATCATCAGGTTACATAACAATGTAAATACAGACAGCATTGCAGATGTAAATACCCACATTTTGCATAAAACGTGCAGCAGGCCTGCGACCTTGACAGGGAAGAGGAGCTGCTGTTTAGTTTCCTCAGATTTGCCTAAAAAAGTCAATAATATGAGGAGAGTTTACTCGACACACACAGTCTGCAGAGCAGCACGATGATGAAGAGCATCTTACTGGTTGTCTTGTGTCTCTCAGGTCAGTGAATTCTTGAACATTTCTGATGTCTGTCTGCTTATTATAGTGAAATAATGAATAAGTCTCAGGAGCTGTCCTCACAAATACAGTGATTAGAAAAGTTTTAAACATGTTGTCTCACTGGGACCATTGACCAGTCTGCCAGTGGAGGAAGACTTCAGATCCTTTACTTCAGTAAAAGAAATGTCAAAAATACTCTGTTCATTTAAAATCCTACTGAAGTAAAAGTACAGAAGTATCATGAGCAAAATGTGTGTAAAAGTCACAGAACCTCTCTGAATGTTATTAATGACACTAATAGATTTTTATGACTGTGTCAGCAGACATTTATCTTTCTGAGCAAACAGCTAAATCATTGAACCCAGTGGTTCCCAACCCAGGGGTCATGGCCCTCCAGTTAAATGTGAGGGGACATGAGATGATTAATGGGAAACAGGTGAATTCATTGAGAACTGTATTTCTTTGGCTCTAACAGTTGAAATCAAACCTTGTGAGCGGTTTAGAGGGGAAATGCCTCTTTGATGGAACTGCTGACAACTCACAGACATCTGAAAGGTGACAAAGGGCCCCAACTACTTTTCTGTTAGGGCCTCAATCCATAAATGTGGGAACCGCTGGTTAAATACTGAACAGTGTATTTTATTTTCAATCCGTCAACACATTAAAACCATGTGTAATGTTAACAGATTGTGGATTCAACATGTAACCAATCAGGCACTTGTTCTCTTCACAGGCTGGGACCCCTCCTCCTGCCTCCTCCATCAGTACCACTCTGTTCCTGATCGTATGAGCTGGACTGAAGCTCAGACCTACTGCAGACAGAAATACACAGACCTGGCCACCATCGAAAACACTGAAGAAGTTAACAAAGTTATTAACACAGTTCCATCTTCTGGTAATCACATGGCGGTCTGGATTGGCGTGTACGTTAATCTGAACTGGAGGTGGTCAGACGGCTACACAGGGACGGGAGCTGACTATGTGACGTCCATATATGTTAATCCAGTTCTAAACTCTGAGCCCAATACCTCCTGTGTTTTAGGTGGATCAACATGGCAGACTAGTAACTGTAAACTGGGATATCCATTCATCTGTAATAATGGTAAGTACCAAGCAAAACATTATTTCCTCTCTGATAGTGATTATTTTAACTCAAAAGAATATTTTTTCCAATCTGCAGGAACACAGCTGGATCCTGAATTTGTTTATGTGAGTCAAACATTGAGTTGGTTAAGCGCTCAGAGGTACTGCAGGGAGAACTTCATGGACCTGGCCACTGTGAGGAACGACACTGAGAGCCAGAAGGTCCAGAGCCTGATACCGAGTGAAAAAAAGGCATGGATTGGTTTGTTCGGAGATCCTCACACTTACTGGTCTGATGGGAGTAACTCCTCATTCAGATTCTGGTACACAGGTTCACAGGAAATTGACTGGAAGAGTGTCGCATGTGGTCTTTCAGATGTGGACAATAGAGGAAAATGGCTTTTACTTCCCTGTAACAATAGATACGCATTTGTCTGCTACAGCGTCCCTGGTGAGTGAGTTTCCTGTGCTTCAGCAGAAGAGAGAATAACTGAGTTTGGTATCACAAAGGTGATTCAGCATGTTGTTCTTCTCTGTGTCTAAGCAGTAATGAAACGGGCAGTGAAGCTGAGGATGAAGCTGGAGGACTCCTCTGTGGATCTGAACGACCCTGCTGTGAAAGCAGACCTGCTGAAAAAGGTGAGTCTCCCAAATCCACCCCGAGGCCCTCAGGAACTCTTGGAACTGTTGAGTTGTTTGGCTGTGTGTCTTTGTTGGTTCCCTGTGGACAGCAGGTCAAAAAGCAAATGTTTCCTGATGGCTGCCATGTGTGTTTCCCAGCTCCAGGACAAGCTGCAGCAGAAAGGAGAGGGTGGAGTCACCCTGAAGTGGAGAGAGCAGCCTGATGGGAAAGTCTTCCACAAAGAGGAAGATGAGCTCTGAAAGTGAAATCCAACTTGTGTTTCTCTGTAATCCTTGGTGAATGTTGATATTCTACCTGCTAATTCACACTAAGATCAGTGTCTGAAGAGCTAAACCAGAACCCTGAATCCATCCTGTAGACCTGTAGTCATAGGAGGGTTTGTCCCTCATCAGCAATGTTACTGAGTGAAGTGTCTTCAAAATAAAAACATAAATGAGACGTGGCTTTTGGCTTCAAGGTTACAGTTTGTGAACCAGACTGATAAAACCATATTTCCACATGTACATGCAACAAACCCGCCCTTCACACAGGACTGGAAGGATGTGATACATCATACTGAATAACCAATGAAATCATCCCTACGCTAGGAAAAGTGTATTTTGTTCATTAGGTTATAAAACAGTGCACACACAGTACCTGGGAATAAAGGCAAGGCAAGTTTATTTGTATAGCACATTTTAACAAAACAAGGTAATTCAAAGTGCTTTACATAAAACATAAAAGCAACAGGGAAATATAAAAAAGCAATATAAAATATAATAAAAGTTACAGTGTTACAATCAGGGTTAAAAGAGTTAAATGGATAAAAGCAATGATAAAAAGCTAAAAACAAAGAAAAAGAAAACAGGACAGTAAAAGTTATAGTGCAGTTAAGTTATCAACGAAAAGAAAAATCTGAAATTATTAATTAAAAGCAATGATAAAAAGAAAAGTCTTCAGTCTGAATTTAAAAGAACTGACAGTTTCAGCAGACCTGCAGTTATCTGGGAGTTTGTTCCAGATATACGGAGCATAATAACTGAACGCTGCTTCTCCTTGTTTAGTTTTGACTCTGGGGACAGAAAGCAGACCTGATCCCAGACGACCTGAGAGGTCTGGATGGTTCGTAACGAAGCAGAAGATCAGAAATGTATTTTGGCCCTAAACCATTTAGTGCTTTATAAACTAACAGCAGGATTTCAATTCTTCAATCAATTCTTTGACATACAGGAAGCCAATGTAAAGACCTCAGGACTGGAGTGATGTGATCCACCTTTTTGGTCTTAGTGAGGACTCGAGCAGCAGCGTTCTGAATCAGCTGCCTGATGGATTTCTTAGGGAAAGTATTTATTTACTAAGGTGAAGACAAGTGAAGGGTAATGAGGATATATACAGTATCTGACAAAAGAGAGAACACACCTCACATTTGTGTAAATATTTGATTTTATGTTTCCATGTGACAACACAGCGCTTTTGTCGTGCGAAATGGCTGCAGAAGCTGAGAACTGAGGTGTGGACCCAAATGCAGACTGTGGGCGAGGTAGTGCACTTCGAATAAGGATTTAGTAACACAAAACTAAACAGGCTTACGCTGGGAGCTCAGCGGCAAATGTGCAAACAAAAGGGTACTCCAGCTCCATACAAAACATAATCCATAGGGAAGAATCCGTGAACAAAGTACAAACAAATGAAGCAATCCAAAAGGGCAGGGAAGGCACAAAACACTCAACACAGATGACGCAGACAATGCAAGGACATGATAAAGATTAAAGACAACTGAGGACAATATATACACTGGTAAACGAGCAGGGAGGGAAGCACAGCTGAGATACATCAGATAATCAAACAAAGCTAGACAAGGACACCTGGAACAGAAGATTACCAAAATAAAACAGGAAGTAAAGGTCATAGGAACACACAAGGACAGATCTACCAAACTAAAACACATAAAATGGAAAGACAGCAAAATCAGGACACGGACAGAGACTGGACCAAACAGGAGACAAGACTACACTAAAACATGGAGATATAAGACTAAGGACTAAGACGGACCATAATGAGAAAATATAGAAGTACACAGATAAGGAAAACACTAAACATGAATTAAAGCACAGGATTAAGAACTAAGATGAGAGACAAGACAGTTACTAAGAAAACTTAAAGCGAATGAACAAAATAATAAACTAGACTCCAAAACTCCAAAACATGACAATATCAAATACACACAGGAAAAAAAGCACAAAACCAAATCCTAACAGCTTTAGACATTAATGGCTGTGTGATGTTGTCTGTTATACAAGCTGTACACTCACTACACTCACTACTTTACACTGTTATACAAGCTGTACACTCACTACTTTACACTGTTATACAAGCTGTACACTCACTACACTCACTACTTTACACTGTTATACAAGCTGTACGCTCACTACTTTACACTGTTATACAAGCTGTACGCTCACTACTTTACACTGTTATACAAGCTGTACTCTCACTACTTTACACTGTTATACAAGCTGTACACTCACTACACTCACTACTTTACACTGTTATACAAGCTGTACGCTCACTACTTTACACTGTTATACAAGCTGTACGCTCACTACTTTACACTGTTATACAAGCTGTACACTCACTACTTTACACTGTTATACAAGCTGTACGCTCACTACTTTACACTGTTATACAAGCTGTGCGCTCACTACTTTACACTGTTATACAAGCTGTACGCTCACTACTTTACACTGTTATACAAGCTGTACACTCACTACACTCACTACTTTACACTGTTATACAAGCTGTACGCTCACTACTTTACACTGTTATACAAGCTGCACTCTCACTACTTTACACTGTTATACAAGCTGTACGCTCACTACTTTACACTGTTATACAAGCTGTACGCTCACTACTTTACACTGTTATACAAGCTGTACGCTCACTACTTTACACTGTTATACAAGCTGTACGCTCACTACTTTACACTGTTATACAAGCTGTACGCTCACTACTTTACACTGTTATACAAGCTGCACGCTCACTACTTTACACTGTTATACAAGCTGCACGCTCACTACTTTACACTGTTATACAAGCTGCACGCTCACTACTTTACACTGTTATACAAGCTGTACGCTCACTACTTTACACTGTTATACAAGCTGCACGCTCGCTACTTTACACTGTTATACAAGCTGTACACCCACTACTTTACGCTATTATACAAGCTCACTACTTTACACTGTTATACAAGCTGTACGCTCACTACTTTACACTGTTATACAAGCTGCACGCTCACTACTTTACACTGTTATACAAGCTGTACGCTCACTACTTTACACTGTTATACAAGCTGTACTCTCACTACTTTACACTGTTATACAAGCTGCACGCTCGCTACTTTACACTGTTATACAAGCTGCACGCTCGTTGTGTCTTCAGTGTTGTCGAACACAGAAGAAATGGGCGATCAAAAGGTGACCTCTGATAACAAGCTAGTTTTAACACTAAGTAAGAAGAGGAGGAAGAAAATTAAGACAAAAAACTCCTTCTAGTTTCTTAAGGTGTGCATCCAAAAAATGCAAAAACAGAAGCCCCCAAAGTTTCCCTTTATCTCCTCTTTCACCCATTCTTCTTTATTATTCCCTATTTTCTTTTCTTGAGCTCTGGGGTCAGTAACTGAAATAATAATCAGCAGGAAGGAACTCAGCCCTTCTCCAAATGTTCATTGGCTGCTATAAGTTCAAGCCATCAGATTGATTCTCCTCTTACATCCTTCCTCTTCTTTCCAGGTACCGTACACTTCCTGCTAGTAGTTGCAACACCCCTTTGCTCTAGTCACAAATTAACAAGAATAATATCAAGTCAAAGAATAAAACATATGTAGATTCAACAAACTTTGATTGTGTAACATTTTCTAATTTCCAATGCATACAAAGCAGATCCAGCAGGTCTAAAACCAAGACTAAATGAGCATTTGTTCTCTAGATCTTAAGTGAAAATCACACACAAGAAGCAGAAAAGACATCAATCATGGGTTGTCACCATCTTCCTTCTGTTATTTAATCTCTAACTGACGTTGCTTTCATTTTCACAGTGGCTGCTGATGTTTAGGCAAACAGTGCCTTCTTTCCTGATTAAAATGATTATCTCGATGTCATCAGGGAATGCATACATGAGACGTCCTGACAGGAGACTTAAAGGTCTTAAAGTTTACTGAAAATTTATATTTACTATCTAAACTGAAGAAGTAAGACTCCGGACCTTCCCCTCCTTATCACACCTTTTTTCACACCTCCCCTCATGAGTGCTAGATACACAAATCAGGGACGCTTTACCTTTTGGTTTAATTTACAGCAAAAGCTTCCTCTTTACTGGAAACCAGCGTTATTTTGAGACTTCAGCATGCACTGCCGCTGAGCATGTCTGACCATACCCAGACAAAGGTTTCTAGAGGCAAAGATAAGGTTAGGCACAAGAGGTGCAGACAGGCCTTATTAAAGAAATAAAGACAGTATCTCAAAGTAAACATCTTTCTTACTTAAATGGTGTACTTTTGTAATGTGAGCTAACACTTAAAGATTATCATTCTTAAAGCGACGGCAAATCATGTTACTTTATGGCTTGTTTACATGTCAAACGGTTTCTATGAAGGCCCCCCAAGAACCAGAACCAGTGGCTTCCAGTGTCCTTTGCTTCACATTCATCTCGTTCTCACAACAGTACTTAACTTTTTTAAATGTCCCTTTTGCTCAAGGTGCAGAGGCGACGTCATCCTTTCTGCCTTCTCTTCTTCTACTATAACCCCCTCCAGGCCGACCTCCCAGGGAAAGTTTATTCCTCTCTGCTTCAGCACAGCGTCCACACGAGAGTCTGAATGATGAACTGTGTTCTCAGCATAGCCGATCTTTGTGTACCTGAGAGACGAGACAGAGACAAGAACCGGTGAAGAAGAGTTTCCAGAGCTGACAGGAGGGAGGTTCCCAACATCTGGCTCTGGGCCCAAACACGGACTCAGCCAGACCATACCCAGTGCCACCCTCTTCACGAAAAAGATTCTCGGCGGTTACCACACCGAACCGTCTTCACTGATTAATCCATCCTCCCATAAGCCGCTTATTCCAAGGGAAATGCAAACAGCCCTATCGAACTCAAGCAACCACCTTCTACCAGATCCAAAGGACTTACACCAGCAGAATTTCACTCCCCTTTTTCATTGTACCCTGACAATATAACTTCAGTCTTCCCCGACCGCAGGTCAGAGCTGGACGATTACCTGTCCCTAATCTTAGACCTGGCCTTGCGGTTAGGCGGCATCGGCTTCCACATCTATCACGTCTCTTTTTGTCTCCAGCCGCCTGCCATGTGCAGCAGTTCAACCAAGGGCTGTACTGGGGCACCCTAGACCCCAAGCTTACTGCTGCGTCTTTGCAGCACGGCCCTCGAACTGCAACCTTTGCGGCGCA